TTCAATTATTTTTAATGATATATAACTTTTTTCATGTTTCAAAAATGATTATTATAAAGATTAATTATGTGGCTGCTAAACATACTATAAGCCAAAAAACTCTGAAACACCTCTTTTATTATCTCGCGCCGTCGTTTTCAGGCCGATTCGAAAATTTTCCGTATCATTGTCAAATGTCCTGGCATTTCCACATTAATGCGAAATCCATGTTATCTGCAAAGCAACGGCAGACTCTTCCCGACGAAAATAGCACGAAAAGTATGCAATGCAGTCTTTTTATCATTCTCTCGCTAGATCTAATGTGTTTAGGTTTTCAATCATTCGCGAGTCGCAACTGAAGCATGAAATGCAATTAACCTTGGAGAAGAAAAGAGATTCCTCGAGAATAGAATATTTCACGGAGGAAATCCTTCATATCTCCATTTATAAGTCGTTTTTCACAAAACTATAGCAATTTATTAATTCCAAATTTTTTTTTATTAGGAGGTAGTTATACATAATAAATATTTATAGCCTTTTCCAAAAATTTCATTACAAAACGTATAATATTATGATTGTATTTTTTTTTATGTTTATTATTTATGATTGCGTTTTAAGATTGAAAAAGATTTTGGCACGTAGTTTGTAGAATTGGATGTATATAAATTTAGACTAAAATATTTAAGATCTATTATGATCGAAAATATGATTATTTAATTTATTTTTTCTCTTCATGGATTTATTCTCGTAGATTTAATTTTCAATTATAATTATCTACATTTATTCTTGTTATTTTCATTGGGTAAGCAAGTATAAAATAATTTGTGGTCCATAATTCTACTGCGTATATATTCTCTTTCTATTTATAATAAGCTAATATTTTGGTTTCAAAAAAATAACAGCCATTCAAATAAATAACGATCGTAAATAATATAAAACCGTTCATATTTATTGTGTTAGTGCGTTAGAAATATAATGTACAATAATATACGTTCGTGCAACTAATTTTAATCGATAACAGAAATAATACTTTTTTCTGGAAAAAGTGTCGACAGAAATTTTAAACTTTGTTACAAAAATACATAATATCAAACATTGCAAAAACGTAGTCGTGATTAAAGTACGACTTCGTTCAATATTCTCACTCTGTGAAAAGTTTCTCACTTAAAAGTTCTCACTTTAGAAAAAATTTTTTTTTAAATAGACTAAAACTATAATTAAAATAATAAAAATATTCAGTAGTTTTAACCATTTCGTTACCTCGCTAGAAAATTATGTGAAACATTTATTTAAATCATTGTTCTAATTGTAATTATAGAGAAATTTAGTAACCTTACTGTAACTAAAGGGAAGACATATATGTATAATAAAATTTTCGCGCGAATTTTATTCAGTGTGTCACAAAAAGAATGCATTGGTAATACGTTCGAGGAATGTGAAAAACTCCGAGAAACGACATAGGAAAACAATGAGGACGTCTGCTTATCGGAAATGTAAAGTTAAAATTTGTTTTTAAGAGTGCACAGTTGAGAGTGAGAGAGAGAGAGCGACGGAAAAGATATATACTCAGTCGAAAGAACTTTTCTTCTCAAGCAAATTAGCATCGCGTCAAAGCGGCATATATTTTTAAAGTATTTTAAAATACTTTATCTTACCATCATTTCAAAGTAATTACTTTAGAAATACAAGTTCCGAATTTTTGCCACTCGCGAAGCCGTGGCTCAACACTTCGTAAGTACAGAGTATTTCACAAATTGACTTGCTACGTAGTACAGACTTTCTAATAAAACAAAATTGAATCTTATATAGGATGTCTGAGAATCACCAAACGTTTTATAGACAATTCTACGATACTCATTAAAAATTTATTAAAAATATGCAAATATTATAATTATTTAACTATAATTATTTAATAACTAGCATTAAACCCTGTTAATGTAAGATTTAGATTCCTCTCTTCTCTCTCCTCCTCTTTTTCCTCTTTTCCTATCTTCTCTTACAGAAATTTAATACTGAAAAGAAATAATTAATTTCTTATTTTGAGTAAAAGTACTGAATAATACTACTTTTAATACTCAATTTAAAGTAATTTTATTTACCAATTCATTTTCAGTGTTAAAAAAAATTTGTAAGAATCACTTTGTGCCGTTCATGGTCTAGAAAAAAAGTTTAAATTTATTCAACAGTATTATACATGAAAATCAATTATAAGAATGTATATTCAAAATTGAATAAATTAAAGTATTATTATATATTCTTGAAATTTAAATTTGCCTACACGAGAGATAAATTAATACCAGAATTTATAAGTATAGTTTTTCTTAGATGAGCTACTTCACATTACTTTTTATCAAACAAAAATTAAAAATGTTTATATTTATTTTAATTCTATTTTATGCAACATATATTAAATGCAGAGATAGCATTGACAAATGCCAAAAACTAAAGGCGATAATACCCACTGACCATTCCAATACGGTCAGATAAATTATCCTTTCCAATAGAATCTGGTATATCCGTTGAGATTGCATCTCCGTTTTCGCATCGGACCAATTAACTTTCTGTCAATGGAAACAAATTGTATTTCTATCGGCTAGTTATTACTGTTTTTCGTTAAAAAAAGTACGAATTTGTTAGAAAACGTATTAATATAATCGATAAATACATATACAAATGTATTTTTTTTTTATGGAAGCATAAGTTTCCTAATATTTTGGGCATATTCTGATTTTCAAAATAAAACTTAAGAGAGAATTCCAATGGTAATGATATCTTGAATACATTCAGATTTTAATGCGTACTTGATATATTGATGTAACGAATATATTACAAATAAAATACAAAATTTCTCTAACGCACTTAATATTTAATATCATAATTTAATTCATAAAAATAAACGTTCCATAAAAATACAGTGCAAAAAATTACATTGCACTTCCTTTTTACAATTTTCTTTTTATTTATTACTTGACATTAATATATAATCTGGTAATAAGTCTCCAATATCATATAATATTCATTCACACAAGTACCGTTTTTTTCGATTCTCCCTTTCCATGCACTTTCGACAAGTACAAATTTCTCACTCATTGTCAGTAACATACAGTTGCCAATTCGTTAAATGACGCGCACAATTTGAGCGAGCTTCTTCCTAGTAAAGTAATTGTGACGAATAGCAAAAATTGCAATTTCTCACTTGAAAATTGAGAAGTATTTACAAATAGTTAAAGTATAATTTTGCAAAGAAATTATATTCATATGAAAGAAAATTTATATCTATTATCTCTAATAAAAAAAATCACGATACTAAAGTTTGAAAGATGTGACGTAATTATTTAAATATAAATATCGATCGTGTCTTGTGATACGCAATTTCTTTTGCACTTTTGCGTTAAACCGAGCGAGTACATACGGAACACACAATATAGTTTCAGTCTGTATATTATTTATGCGCCTAGGGACGAAGAATGGGAGTGGAGATGGGAGTACGTAACATGCTCTGAATAAGCTCCGATTAAGCTCACTGTATTCAGCTTTGTCGTTCATATACGCATTGCACACACCCCAAAAGTTGCATGCCACTGACACCATTTGACTGCAACCAAAACTTACCTTCCTCTTTCTCTCTCTCTCTCTCTCTCTCTCTCTTTCTGTTCAATGAAAACTATATCACTAACATGGTATGTTGTTCCCAAAATGAGGCAATTCCTGCGATTGCATAATGTGAATGGTCGGCATAATCCAAGATTATATGATTATAGCGACACGCATAAGAAATTGAGCTGCGAATACTGCGTTGTTTCAGACGATACGGTTTGCGATTCGAAGATCAAAGAGCTGATTTTCTTAAGTAAATCAGATCTGAATTTTGTAAAAAGTCTATTTTATTGTAATCGAGATTGTGCAAATTATTTTGGTACTGGAAATTTGAGATACTTTGAAAATAAGCTCCTCAATGCGACGGTAAGAGCTTTCAAATGCTGAAAGGAGGATAGTCATCGCTATCAAACGTTCACCTTGTCTGAGCTATATAAGATGTTCCAAACTTGATCGTTCTTACTTTTACACTGAGAGAAGTATTAGACTATGATTAGCAAAATAATTGTGATTAGCAGCTTATAGTTTTATTTTTATAGTTATTACGGTTGCAATGTTAATAATAATAACATTAGTTTACAAATTTTAAATAATTTTTGATCAAGCTTTTTTTAATGTTTTCTTTTTAATGTATTTCAAGTGTTAAATTCGAATTTGCCGCTAAAAAAATTTCATCAGGTCAAATTTTTAAAATACATCTCAAAAATTCGGATAAAATTGATGGAAATATTTCGATGGTAGATTCAGACTAAGCATAAAAAATTATCTTAGAAACAGCCTTCATATGTTGCAAAAAATCTTGTAAACTAGTGTAATTATAATTTTGTTATACCAAAAAATATATACAGGATGTCCAAAAATTTGTTGCTTAAAATATTATAGCAAGATAGTTCTAAAAAAAAATTAAAAAATAAATATTTTTATTTTAAGAAATAGCTTTTAACGGTTTGTGATTTGTAAGTATACTGAAGTGCGCATTTACTAAACTATCACACGCGCGACTCCTAAACAAGTGGCCGTAGTCTATAAATGGCTGTTTAAACCTCTTATTGTCTCAAAAGTTACTGTTTAAAATAAAAATTTGTTAATAATTGTTTCATTTGATTTTTCTAGAATTAAGCTTCTTGCTATAGTATTTTGAGTTGCAAATTTTAGGAGTTGGTACAAAAATGACATTAAATTATAAGTAAATTATGGTAATTGCAACCATTTCCTTCTCTCAATATAATATCTAACAATGCAACGCTTCGTTCATTTCTTGTTAAAATAAACTAAATAAACTATGAGTCAAAATAGACCCTCTAAAAAGATCCCGCAGGCGCTCGCGCACCTCCCTGAGAAGGATTCTGCCAGCTCCCGTCCTGGAATACCCTGTAAAGAATCACTTCGCGATCTACTGCCGTCGCGCGGACGACGGTAGTTTATTAAGTTCTCTTGCCGTATAAAGTGTTGTGCCGAGTGATGGTCTGCCGAGTAGTGGATAGGCTGTCCTGCACAGAGTTCAGTCGGACGACCGAGTTCTGTGGTACATGGGTAATGCCATTCTCGTGGCGGTTGTGGTCAGAGCTGGCACACACCATCGCCAGGGCACCGCCGTTGTTCCTCGACCCTCTGCAGTGCAGTAATTCCCACATACCCTTGCGAAAGTTGCGCGATAGAAAGGCGTACAGCAGTGGGTTCATGCAGGAGTTCATGTACGAGATGAGGAAGGTCGACACGGTCAGCAAAGTGCTGAAGTCCGACGCGTGATCGTAGTTTGGGCCCCAGTGTCGCCAGAGGATACGCGCCTGCTGAGGCAGGTTGCAAACGGCGAACATCATCACCACTGCGATCAACATTCTGGAAAACAGTGGTGAGACATTGATGGCTGGCCCTGAGCGCTGTTCTGACGAATTTAGAAACCTCTAATACGTCCTTAGGATCGAACGACAATGATGACAGTCAATAGTGACATAAAATCGTCGATGACACGATCCCTTTGAAAAATTTCTTAAAACTTTTTCTACGTAATATTAATGATAAAGAAAAACGCGCACTAAGAAAAAAATTGCCTTCAGCAAAACAGACATTTTTTAATAAAAAAATAAATTTTTTGTTTATAATTAAAAATTTAGTTTCTGTAAATAATATAAATATTGATTCATACCAGTTGATTAATATTATATGTATTTGGTAATATTTATTAAATATTGCCCCAATATGTTAAATAAAATAAACGGTAGCTATTATCAGACTTTTTTTTAGCAGTGTAGGCGGATATGTTAAATTATTGTACTCAATTAAATTGCAACGCATTAAATGACGAAGCGAACGTAATATAATAATATTTGCCAATTATTAGCAAATATACATTTACACTTTGTTACTGTACGTAGACATAAATATACGTGTCTTGAAAATCTTTTGGTGTCCACAAAGTTAATTAATATTTAAAAGCGCTAATAAGCAATTGAAATTATAATTTAATTATCATTAACTGTCACACTGCCGAATTCTCGGACACAATTGCTCCAACGGATATTAATTTCAGCGAGACGGAAATTGAAGACGCTATTACCTAACGTGGCCTGGAAATAGACATACCTGATAACGCCGCGTCGTGCCTTCAGTACGTTTCTGCTGGACGTGTGTACATGGTGTACCCGACCATTTTTCGTCCTGGCGACTAGGCCGGGTCCTCCGAAGGTCGCGCTGCTCCTCCAGAGGCCTATGGCGATTCTTGTGTAGAGGCAACACATAAGGAAGAGCGGCAGGAGGTAGAGTAAGACGAGATTCACCACGTCCAAAACGTTCTTGTTGTGTTTCTTGATATTGGCTATGCAGATAATGTCGACGTCGCCGCTGTTGAGACGATTGCTGATGGTCTCAACGTAGAAAAATCTGGGCGAGGCATACACGGCCGCCAGGATCCATACTACACCTACCACCATTCTGAGACGTCTCCTGGTCAACATGGACCGACACTTGATAGGATGGACGATGGCTAGATAACGCTCGGTGCATACTACTACGAGAATCAGTATGCTGGCGGTGTACGAGAGCGCGTGTACGAACATATACACCTTGCAGAGGAAGTCACCTAGCTGCCAGCTGTTCATCAAGTAATTGGTGAGCGTTTGGTAGACGCAGAATATGCCCACGCAAAAGTCCGCCACCGCCAGATTCGCTAGGAAGAAGTTTGTGATGCTGCGCAACCGACGGGAGAATGTCACCACGAAAATCACCATTAGGTTGCCTAGAAACGTCAACATTATTAAAACTTGACATTTGAACTTATATTGCTAGAAAATAAATACAAAAATAGTAGATATTATGTAATTCACGTTTCGTATATCACGTTTGGATTTAAAGAGAAATAATGGCTATCGCGTCTCATCATATCCTCGCTTTTTTAATGGTATGCCGTCCTTTGTTCTTTATTTTCGTACTCAAAATCGTTGCAAAAACAAGCGTATTCGATGTCGTTCCGATTAAAAAAGCGCATGTCATGAGAGCTGCATGAAATGCAGAAAACGAAATGGAGTTGAAATGAAAGGTTGTCGCTATTTTGATATGCCTAGCACGAACGTTCCACGCGCGTCCTGTTATTATCTAAAGAAGAGGGTGTAGAAGCGTAATATTGATAATAAAACTTATCGTAATTACATTGCAGTAAATTAAAGGTTTGCCATATATGTTTTATTTGCCGAGGTCTCTTTTTATCAGCAATAATTCGCACGTCAATATATTTTCCGCGTAAATGATGGACACTGTTAGAAATATTTTTAAATTTCATTAACTTTTAAGTTACACAATTTGAACTTAATTTCAAGACATTATATTAAATTTAATGTATTTATATCTAAAAAGTATATTTGTGTACATGTACATAAAATTTAATGTATTTTTCATAAAAATTTATAATATTTAATGTACTTTTTTCATAAAATTTTATTAAAAGTACATTAAATTTCATAAATTTAATGTACACGTTCATTACATTTAAATAACTACTGTAACTGAATTTCCAGTCAAATCATTCATTACTTTTAATTTCGTTCATAATCACGAGCTTCATTTACATGTAAAGGAAGCTCGTGGTTACATTTCTAACAGTGGTCGTTTGAAACTCCGCTTCTTAAGTCGTTATATCGTCGAGAAGTGATAATAGTGATCTGCCAACTCGAGTTTGAAGAAACTAAGAGATCGCGATCTTATAGCTTATTATAGAGAGGCGAAGGACGACTCGAGTGAAAAGTTTCGGCGACCCATTAAAGTTGCAAATTATATACCAGTCGCGACAAAAAGGATTTCATTTCAACTTCCACATTCCGCTAGCTGTCTTTCTTTCCTCTTTCCATAATCACTTTAATCCATCTTATTTTTCGCTCTAAAGATTCTCTCGTGAAATTCTATTCGTAGGATGAAACGGCGTAAGACAATAAATCTGCAACGATTCGACGAATGATCGGGAAATTTAAGATGTTGGATATTTGTCGAGTGATTTGCGGCGATTAATCGAATGCAAGTCTTCTTTTCCAAATAGTAAATCCACGTTCGCGGAATTTGTGTCCTACGCTCGCGATTGATTTAATCGATAACGAGCCATTTGTATTGGAACGTTTTAATTGTAAATCCATGTTGGATTAATCGTCATTTGACGTGGTTGCTTGGATTTACGTATTAATTATCTTACACAAAAACAACAATTTTGTTCAACTATTTAAAAAGTTGACTTAATTAACACTTTTACGGTCCGTCGATGGTAGTGCTATTGTATAAGAAATAAGAACATCGATTTTATCAGCATATATATCTCTATTATTATTGCATGCAACTGTTATAGATAAAAGTATGAGTAAAATGTTGCTTGGCAGAACAAAAACAATTGTATGCATGACTAACGGTATAATATAATGTAAAAAATAGCGTAATGATGTTTTGGCTGCATTATCAGTTAAAAATACTGGCCAAAATCAGCCAAAAAGGCCAATATCAATCAACATCAGTATAAAAATTTTTTAAATACGCGAAACTATTTGTAAAAACAAAACAAGTTATTTGGCTTTTAACGGCTTATGCAGCGTAATTATTATATTTTGCTGCAGTTTTTGGTAAACAACTTTTAAACGCGTGGATTTAAATAAATTTCTGCACAAATATTTATTAAAGCTTTATTAGTATTATACATATAAAAATTTAATTTAATTCGTAATGCTACTTCTTCATCAAGTTTGCAAATAATTACGCCATTTTACATATGAGAATCAAGGTAAACGAAAAAATTAAATAACTTTTAAACCAATAAGAAATTATGCTCAAATTTTAAACAGATACTCACACTCAAAAAAGTGATCTTGCAGAGCGAAAATTATCTAATGCCCAATTTCTTCACCTCTAAATAACTTTATCCAAGAGATATCGCCCAGAATACAATAGAGATATCTCCTGGATAAAGTTATCCGCAACTTATCTGAAAGTGAAGAAATTGGGCATAAGTACAAAAAATAGCTAAAATAGATAAATTTCTAGCAAGTATTGCGATATTGGATGTGTATTGTATCTAATTATATAGATGAAAGAGATAGAATTTAGATTTGTGCTATAAATTCTATGCATATGGTACATAATTTTTTATCAGATATAAAAAAACAGTTCTAGCTGAAGCAGCAAAATATTTTTTTGCGTGCAAACATAATAAAACAATTTATAAATTTTTGTATACTTTTTAATATATATTTTTTTTGTATTACAACCATTGTTTACAGTCAGATGTGCAATTCTGTAATGTATACGCGGACTGTAAGATAATATGATTATAACTAATATTTAACACTTTAAGTTTCGGAATTGTGTGTTTGTGATTTAATAATCTAGCTCATTACATTTTATTGTTTTTAAATATTTTAATATAATTTATGTTGTTTCTTTAATAGCTTAAATGTTTAGTAAAATCATTCTAATTGGAATAAAAATATAATTGTCAGCTGTAAATGAGTGACGAGATCCTTACTAATTTTACGTACCGTTCAAATGTCCGTAGCGTAGCAATCAAATTAATATAACTTACATTAGAAGAAAATTTTAAAAATTTATCGTTTAAAAAGATAAAAATGTTTAGTACGTCGATAAAATGGTGATCACACTGAGAATGACGGATTATCTTCATGATCGCACATTTGCTCGCGAGATTTTATGAATGACGCTCGTAAACCGCGCTGAAAAATTATTGTCAAGCATTCTCCCTTCAAACAAATTTAATTTTGCGAAGATCTTAAAGGCAGACTTGGCATACTGGCATTCATCGCTCTGTCAATTTTGCTTTCAACATATAAGAACTGCAGTTTTATTCTGACATAAGACCTAAGCTCAATGGCTTTTATTGAAAAACATTTTTTCTTTTGTTAAATTCCTCTTATTATTACGATCGGCAAAAACGCATTGATCCAGATTAGGAAGTAATTATGAAAATTCTTAGTCGCGATTCATTGAGCATTCTTCTTGAAGTGTCCTCAATTCCTCGATTTCCCGTCTTTCAAATGCATTCTTTGATTTTCTCGGAACTGATAAGTATTTTTAGCGGAAATATGCGATAACTTGTTCCTTAACTTTGGCAAAGGTTAATTTTTCTTTAAAAAATATGTTAAGACAGGCATAATTTTTTAGCTTCTTCGCTAAAGCAAGTTTCAATGCGCTTTGAAAGAAGTCGGTTTTGTGGATGAGACGCGTGTTTGTCTCTCATCTGGCGTGTCCAGAGACACATCAGTGCGTCGTCACGTCTCCGAAAATCTACGCGCGCGGATCAATAGCACAGGTTCGCAAAATTAATTAAGCGAAGGAAAGAGAAGCGAGAAATTTGTTTTTCAAAAAGACCGCTTTGTTTACGAAGGGACTGGAGTGGCATGTAAAAATTAATCTTTCAGTACGTGGCTTAGCGCAGCGCCCATCGAATATAAAAATGCGATTATACCTCTATAAATTTGCACCTAAAAGACGAGAGAAGGTCCTTAATTGAAAAATTATTTCAATATACTGTCGTACAAACTGAAAAATAAGCTCTAGAAATATAACGAGGTTTAGATTATTCGTGTCATGCGCATTTTTTTTCTTTAAAATATTAGAAGTAAATAAATGGTTAAATAATAGTCTTTATCTTTTTTTTAAATACATAATAAAAAACATTGTGTATTTGTATTGAATTAAAACTGGTTCTTATAAAAATTGTTATGCCAAATTTTTAACATATCTGAGTGTTAATTTAACATAATTGTGTTGTTTGAATATTTTTTGTTAATTGATGTACAATATTTTTTAGTATTATAATAAATACAATTTATGAATAAATAAACAAATATCATAGAAATAATACATTTTAAAACAAAAATTTAAAAATAAATGAATAAAATTTATTAATTTGACATATTAGAAATGTTAATTTTATTGAAAAAAAATTGTTTACAAATTGTGTCAATGTTACATTTTTCATATTAATTTTTTACATAATATTTGTGTTATTTTCTAACATATTCATTTTGTGTTAAACATAATTTAATATAAATTCCAACAGTGTACTTTTTGAAGATAAACAGTATGTGCAAGAAGTATATATAT